AATCCCTCCCCCCCAAAAAAAAATAAATAAATAAAAAGAATTATTTTTTTAATTTAACTTTATTTATTATTATTATTATTTTCCAGCTTAATCAGAGAGGGAGGGGGTGGAATGAGAAAGCAAATTGCCAGGTTCAGGACTCAAACCGTGGTAAGCCATGTGGGAGTCCAGTGTCTTTAACCACGATGCCACCTGCTGACCCCTCTGTTCCATTATCTTAGTTCTTGACAGGAGAGCTCCTTTAACACCTGGAGCAAACTGTGCCATCCTCTGCGGGGGCTTCCGGGCTGGCTGGGCACACCTTCACTGCTAGGCCAGGCGCTTCACGGCCCCGCCTTTGCCTTGGCTTCCTGCCTGTGCAGAGTGTCCAGGTCACCCAGGATTGCTGGGTATAGGCACTGCCCTCCACGTGCTGGTGACCTCCCGCCTCCCCAGGAACATACTGGGCCCCGTCAGAGCAATACGGACTTCTCTATCCAATTTTCCGATGAATATTTTTGGACAGTTTGCTGTTTACCCCAAGCGCTATCCATCGCCTGAGGCTACATTAAACATTAAAACTGTCACTTGATGTTTGTGACAAGCGCTCCTTCTCCCCCTCGGAGAAGCTTTTAGCACTACGCCAGTTCTGAGTCAAGCGAAAGAAAGGAGAGTATTTGGGGGCTGCCACGTGCATGGTGGTTAAGGAGCTGGACTCCCACATGACAGACGGCAGTTCGAGTTCTGGACCTGATGGCTTGCTTTCTCACCCTCGCTCTCTCTGGTCAAATTAAAAATAACGATGACGACGATGATGAATAAAATCCAATAAATAGTCCCAAAAAAAGATTTATTAAAAAAAGAAAAAAAGTATGTTGTGTGGAGTTTTTCAAGCAACCATAAATAGTTATATAATGACTCTTTCGGAAAGGGGTTTTGAAGGAGCTTCACCGTCATTCCCCCCTCGGTATAGGAGGTATCTTCCAGGGCTTTTTTTTTTTTTTTTTTTAGCTTGCTAGAGGATACATGCACTTGCTAGAGAGAGAGAGGGGAAGCAAAAGCAGCTGAGGAGGCACCCCTGGGGGGATGACCATGCCACAATCCCTCCTCCTCCACCCTCCCGTCAGGGCTCTGGGCACCCACACGTGTTCAAGCTGCCGGGTCTCAGGCTGAACCGTGCAGTGGACGATGGGGATCTAGCATTTTAACCTCATGCTACCTGCTGGCTTCGCCTTCACAAATCTTTGATTTAGTTAGTCTATGAGAGAGAAAGTGGCAGAAACAGAGAGGTACCCCGAATAGCATTTTCCACACAATCTGCCCCTAGTTTCAGCCAGCCTGGATCTTGAGCTGTGCCCCGTGTGCTGAGGGAGGTCCCAGGACACGAACCCCAAACCTCTCTTATGTGAGTCCAGTTGCATTAATGCTGTGCCACAACCAGCCCCCATCCTGATGTTTTTATTTTAATTAATGAATTCATTCCTTTTTAAGTTTTTGCTTTAGGATGTGTGCGCCCACCAGAGACAGAGAGAGGGAAAGCGAGAAATCACCCCCCTGGGGGGTGGCCATGCTGTAATCTCCTCCATTCTCCTCTGGAGATTTTACACATGCACACACGTGGGCCTGGCATGATTTCTGAGCCACCAGGTCTGGGACTGGAACCGCATCGGCCTTGTCGGAGTCCAGGGCCTTAACCACCACACCACCTGCTAGTCCCTTGAAGGAGTATCTTTAATTCTGCTCCCTCGAAGAGAAGAGCACAACTGTATCTGTTGATGTCTGTGGAGCCCAAGGGCATTGACCTCACTGGCTGGGACTGTCCCTTCCCCCAGGGTCTCTGAGAACCCTCCAGCCCCAACATCCTCCTGGATCCTACATGAGGAAACTTAGTCCACCCCCAGGAGCACTGTGAATCAGAGCTGTAGCTCAGGGCTGACCTCATGGCCTAGTAGTTACAAGAGCCGGGTTTCACATGGCCAACTATGGTTCAATTCCCAGCCCCAGTGCCTTGAAAAATACCACGTGTGTATACATGTAAGCCTGCCCCAAATCCCAACTGGACGGAGAAATGGAGGAATAGGGATTGCAGTGTGAACACACCCCATCAAAGGGTATTTTCTCAGGACCAGCAGATGGCGTAATGACTACGTCGCAGGACTCCCGTGTAATTGACCCCGGTTTGAGTCCTGGACCCGGTGGCTTAAACTCACACTGGGCGCATGTGCATGTGTGCCCAAGATCCTGAGAGAATGGAGGAGAAGGGATTGCAGTGTGGCCATCCCTTTCTGTCTCTCTGTCTCTCTCTTTCTTTCTGGCGAGTACAGGTCCTATAGCAAAAAACTCTTCAAAAACAAAAGGGTGCTTTCTCCCTTTCTCTTTCTGGGTCTCTCTGGCAGGTGCATGTGCCCTCTGGCAAAAACAGAAAAAAAGAAAAAAAAAAAAAAAGACATACCCCCTGGGCCAGAGTCACATGGCCATTCCTGGGCAAAACCAAGGTGGAAACGCAGCCTCCCAGATCTAGAATTTTCTTGGGATTGGGGTTTGCTCCGACACACCCACTGACCCAGCGGTTTCCTATTCTTCCGCAGAGTGGGGTCAACAGTGGATTGGTCCGCGCTAAAGACTCCATCACCAGCTTGAAGGAGAAGACCACCCGGGTTAATCAGCACGTGCAGAACCTGCAGGTGTGAGGACCCCTCCCCCAACACCTCCCATTCCTCCAGGGCCAAGCTCCCCTCTTCCGAGCCGCCTCCAGCCCAATGCACCCATAGACCAGGTGGGGCACTCGAAAAGAGCCCTGGGCAGGCCCAGACCCTACAGCCTCTGGGCTGTCCCCTTGCAGCCCCGGCTCACCCTCCTCCCTCCCATGCTCCAGAGCGAGTGTTCAGTGCTGAGCGAGAATCTAGAGAGAAGGCGGCAAGAGGCAGAAGAGCTGGAGGGATACTGTAGTCAGCTCAAGGTGAGCCGCTAGGGGGCAGGAGCGGGGCGGAGAGAAGTAACCCGAAGACGAGAAAAGGTGGAATAGAGTGGGTGGACAGGAGAGAGAGGTGGGAGTTTAAGGGTGGCACAGGACAGGTCTGGCTAAGGAGGAAGAGATCCCTTTAGCAGAGGGCAACAGGGGACAGTGGGGTGGCTTCTATGGCAGTGACAAGACTAAGGGTAGAGAGGCGGGACTGGAATGGGAAGGCAGGGCCCCCGCCCTGGTGTTCTGACCCAGGAGAACTGCCGGAAGGTGACCCGGTCTGTGGAAGACGCTGAAATCAAAACCAACGTCTTGAAGCAGAACTCCGCCTTGCTGGAGGTAAGGGGGAGTCCCCAGGATTTGGGGGAGGAGGTCGGATGCATAAGGGATTTGAGGGACACGTGGGGGGAAGCGTCTCACCCTGCCACGGTACTGCCCTGTGTGTTGTTCCACTTAGACTCCACTAAGGGATTCAGATGAGGCTCCAGCACCCAGAATGGGTCTCCCCTGTGCACGTTCAAGTCCCAGAGAGATTTGAGTAGAAATGCAAGGAGGAATGCCTGTTCTGGCCACGTGCCTGTCCTGATTTAAATGATGTATTGAAAACTTTGCCGCTGTTCTTCCTAACTGGCAGGGCCTGCTGTTTGCTGTCTAGGAGGCCCCGAGCTGGTGTAAGGGCTGGATGGAGACAGGGAGGCCGGCTCTCGGGGGTTAAAGTGAACTGGACTCCAGCCAGACTTCAAATGGCACACTGTGACAGCAATCAGGAGTCCATCAGGCTTAAAGCGGGGCTTCCCATGCCCTGTCTCCACACCACTTTCTTTGCAATCTTGGGGGTCCCTGGGGTGAATTTGGGGGTGGAGGTGATTCCGCGGACGGGGAGACAGGGCTGGACGCCGTGCTGCTGCTCTTTC